TACAGTCCAAGAACACCTAAACAATCAAAATGGGCAATGTAGCAAATCACTGACCTCCTTTGGAAAGTAAGCTGCTGCTCTTATTCTACAGAAGGCAAAGAAGGAGGATCAATGCCATATACAGTACTACTTCAAGAAGATATAAAGAATCAGAAAGCAACAGAACACATTAGAAGGCCCAGCTCATGCTTTTAGAGTCCTGAGTCTGAACTGGACCAAGTCTGAATCTTGGACAATAACAGAAACCAAAAGACACATAGAACTAAGTTTGAAGGGACCTACAAGGCCATTGAGTCCAACCCCCTGCTCAATGCAGAACTCAAATCAAAGCAGATCTGAAAAGGGGGTTGTCCAATTTTCTCTTGAATGCCTCCAGTATTGGAGCGCTCACCACCTCCCTCTGAGGTCATGGGTTCCATTGTCATACTGCTCTAACAGTTAAGAGGTTTTTCCTGATACTCAGTCTAAAGCTGGCTTCCAGTAATTTGAGCCCATTATCCTGCACTCTGGAATGATGGAGAACAAATCCTGCCCCTCCTCTGTATGACTCTCTCCATTATATGTTTGCTCAGCACATGCAATTCATAGCCAAATGTGTGAAGCACATGCAATTCAGAAATGCAATTTACTCCTACAGTTAGCATGTGAATTTCCCGGCTGAAAACATAAGCTGTCCCAGTCTAAAGATATTGTGTATTGGAACTTATCTCTGCTGACAAGACCAACCTGAGAGGAGTTGAGGCTGAAAAATGTTCACAGATTGCTCGCCTTTAAGAACAAGAAGTTGCCAAAATCAAGGTCCTTGTACAGAAGAAGAGCCATGGACCACACTAATCAAAATCTAAACCTCAGCATATCATATCAGTTATGGAGAACTACCCTTTCATCTCAAAAGCAAGGTCAGAGACCATATATCTGCCCCTTTCAAGAGGAAGCTGAGGAGCTTGTCAAGAACGTATCTACAACCTGATACCAGTTTTGACATGGTTTGATTATCACAGCTGGCCTCAAGGAATCCTGGGACTTGTAGCTGATGCTAGAGTGTTGCCAGCTTGGGAAAAATGCTTTTCTGGACTGCATGTACCAGAATCATCCAGCCAGTTTCCCTGTTGACCATATTGGTTGAGGGAATCGGGGAGCTGTGACTCAGAAAATTCGTTTCCTGCCCTCTCGCTAACCACAGAAAGGATGATTCAATCAACTGGGTCTGTCATCTTGAAGATGCTTACTAGAGAGCGATTCCCATCAGATTCAATAGACTTACTTCTGAGGAACCATGCCTTGCACATATTCCAGGGGTCCCTAATCTGCAACCCTAATTCTAACAAGGCCCTGATTTTCAAGTGAAGTTGGAACAGATCTTCCTTGGGCAAAACTCCAGATATGAGATATGGGGAAATGGTGTCTTGAGGCAGAGTCTTGCATTACAGTTACAAACGACATCTCTTCTGATTATTGGTGCTAATCTGGGTTGTTGGAGGTTTTTTGCTTTATTTTAAAAAATAAATTTATTTTTTTCCTTGTTATTCTAGGAGAGCAAAACTTAGGAAGAAATAGATGGCAGGAAAAACATTTAAACTTCCTCTGCCCACACACGGTGGGACTGATCTGAAGCTGATCCTTTGCAAGATAAGAAAGAAAATATGCCTCAGTTGCAGAGTATAGTTGAATCCAATTATAAGGCCTAGCTACCCACACTGAAATAGAAGGAGCATGATCAGTTAACACTTAGGTAAGTTTCACTGATTCACTCAGTGTCTGTTTACTGGGATAGGTGATTGGATTTAAGCCTCTGCATGTAACGTCGCATCCAGTTCAGCTCTTGGACTGAGAGACTGAATCCGATGGGGTAATTCTCTGCCCCACAGGAGCAACGTCCTAGCTCCACTCCACAAGATATGGATCTAAATGCTTGAACCGGATTCACAAAATGGTGAATTCTGATTTTGCCTTGGTATTGTCTGAGGCTTGATTCTTTGGGGAGCATTGCCATGCCAAGGTACGGGTTCAGTTCTGGATTGCATGGACTGATAAGACTGTTCCCAAGCAGGTGCAAAGAGCTAGTTAAAACTTGTATCTGTTATATAATACCAGACAATGTTTTTATAATTTTGACTGTGCATGGTGTTTTTGAATAACGATGATGATGATAATGATGGTGGTGGTGGTGGTGTGATGATGATAATGATGATGGTGGTGGTGGTGGTGGTGATGATGATCATGATGATGGACTGACTCCCTAAAGGAAGACACAGGCTTGAGTTACAAGAACTGAGCAAGATCATTGAGGACAGGACAGGCAATTGCTCACTGATTTAAGTCAGAGGCAACTTGATGGCAAACAACAACAACAACAACAACAACAAAACAACAAGTCAGTTCAACTGCTAGTTCCCAGAAACCTGCTGCTTCCAATGTAGGAAATAAAAGTGCATCAGTCATGACTAACATCCATTTATATTCTCCTAACCCACAAATGTATTCAATTCACCTCTAAAGCCAAACAAGACTAGTTGATGGCCATCACTTCATCTCGCGGCCTTGAATCCCACCATTTCCAGTCATGTGGTGTGAAGGACTCCTAACTCTTGCCTGTTCTGAATCTCCCACCAGTAAACTTTACCTGATGCCCCTGTATTCTGACAATATGAAAGAGGGAGAATCGGCTTGTCCTTTGGTGGCGAACACACAGATTTAATGAACTCCTTGTGAAATGCCATTTTCTGAAGCAGCATTGGGGAGCAGCGGAGGCATGGGTGCTGTGAGACAGGTGGCTGGCAAAAAAAAATCCAAGGAGAAACTGCAGACAAACAACAACGAGAACACGCTGGACGAAGATTCCTCCATGCTGTTCTATCAACTCACATAAGCTCAGAACCAGGCAAGGTGAGCCAAACACGGCTACACAAGAACGGCCTCAACAGGCTGGAGCAAAGCAGTCCAAATCACATGCTAGACATGCAGCATGAAAGCAAAAATAATTAAATTAATTTTTTTAAAAAAAAAAAAAAGCTCTTCCTTTTGCCCACAAACAATACTCAATGGTTATAGAGGAGAGTAGCTCTGAATGCTGAAGCATAACACGGTTTCTCTTCCACAAACAAGACACATAAACCTATCTCAATTATTAGGATCGCCTCCAGAAGCCCTTCTCTGGGTCTCTTCCAGTAAAATATAGTCTGCAATTATGACCCTGCAGCTCTCACTTGGCATTGTTTTTGATATCTGTTTGCTGCCAAGCAAATATACACTCATCTTCCTTCAGCTTCTTAAATCCATCAGCTTTAAATCTGCCTTATACGGGCCTGTGACTGTGCTAGGTTGTTGAAATTCTACCATGGGTTGTTTCAAGAGTTTTATCAACACTGCGTTTTGATTTGTTTCTGTCTGCTGCCCCCAAAAAAACCCCTTGCTGGGTGGAAGAACAGGGATACGAAGTGTTCAAAACAAGTACAGGCAGGCATATCTACAAGCTAGGTCACAGGTCTTCATCCCCACCTTGCCTCACCCTGCAAAACTTTTTGCGCCTTGCTCTCCCATTCTAGCATCCAGACCTTCTGATTTGACCTGCGTTCTAGCGATTTTGACAAAAACTTTTTTTCCACCTGAGCAATGTGGTCTGGGAGGAAAGGACCACCTGTCTATACCTGAGGTGCAGGTCAAAGGAAGGTCTGTCATGAAACCTGAGAAGATGGCACATAGAGAAACCAATACTGTATATCACGTATAATACTTTCCAGCATAAGGCAAGTATCCCAGCGCAGCCTCTTTAGCGCCTTGGGTCACCCCATCCCGGGGATTTTAGCATTCTGCTCAAGAGACCCTTATAAGTTCCGAAGCCTCATCTCAGAAATCCGTTCCCACTTCCCACAGCCAGCTACAGTACTTGCTTTCTCTTCTTCTGTCCGGTTGAGAAACTGACCTGCCGCTGCCTCTGGCCAACTCGCCGGGCGGGCGTCTCCTGAAAAACCTGCAGCTCCGAATCCAGACTGTGCCCCAGACTTGCCTCAACAGCCTCGGTCAAAGCCTCGGCAGTCTTTTCTTGCGCCCAAAGGAGGTATACCCTCCCTCCCTCCCTGCCTGCCTGCCTGCCTGCCTGCCTTAAAGGGGGAGGGCCAATCCTGGGCGTTGATTTCCTCTCGCCCCCCCCTTCCTACTTCTGGGATGGGAATTGGGATCGGGGCGAAAAGCGGGGCCGGGAGAGGGTGGGAGAGGCTGAAGGTCTGCTAAGGAGAGTGGTTCCTTGGCAACCGCAGGTCGGCCCTGGCATGCTAATTGCGCCGGGCTCCGGCCCTGGCAGGCGGCGCGAGGTGCGGGTAGCGGGGGGGGGGGTTGGAAGAGGGAGAGAGGGAGGGAGGAAAGAGAGAGCAAAGGGAAGGGGGAGGATGTTTCCAAGCTCTGGAGGAAAAACAACCCTCAACGGCTGGAAGGCTGCGGCGCCAAAGCAACCCTGGTGGAAGCCAGCGGAGCGATCTTCCGCCCCGACACCTCGGCAGTGATTTCCACGCCAAGCGAGCCCGGAAAGCGCCGCGGTCGCCTTTTCTCACCTCCCGAGGAAGCATGGCTGGGCGAAAACGCAACCCACCCACTTGCTCTCTCCAGACACACGCACACACGCACAGACTCACACTGCCCGCTGCCGTGCCTTGCCTGGACTCCCCAGCCAACAAGTACCCTTTAAAGGCTAAGCAATGCCCCCCCTCCCCATTATTTTCCCAAAGCGCTTCCCAGCTCCTACGTTTCTCCGTTTACTCCGGCGGCTCTTGGCACATGGGAGGTGCAATCCCTCGTGGGGGGGGGACATCTC